ATACTACAAAGAGTGTAAAAACATGTTCATAAATAGTATATAGTCATCCATCATATATACTACCCAGAACATAAATTCAATAAAATATGGTATTCCAAAAATATTCTCAGTTAAGCACGATAATCATAAAGTGTAAATCTAATTTACTTATAAAACAAATGTAACCATTAAATCATGCTTTTCATGTATGCATTTCTACTAAACTAACATGCATTTTAGAAGGGGTCCACTCACAGATACTCCGTTCGAAGAGCCGTGCGAAATAGGAAGAACGAAATTGCTTATATCACACCTTATAACGAAGGGATGCCAAGTGGCCGATATGGTTATACATCGAAGTTTATGGTTTTGAAAGCGGAAAGAAATCGGCATGCTTTGTTATGACTTTAAACTTCTTAATGGAGATGATATGGGAGCATAGTTATATACATGGGATGAATCTAATGATAGATTTCAAGAATAATTGGTTAGTCAATCCCTAAAGACAAGGATCTGGAAGTTCTCATATGATAAACTTCAAGAGAAGGACAATATAGTGAGATGGGGTTGTTCTTCTCAAGGGAATGTCCCTTTGGTCCCAAGAAATAATGCTAAATAGAATCTTATGCTCGCAGAAAGGTGATTAGTATTGCATAGTATGAAAAATTGATCTAGTTGTACCTAGAACGGTAAGAGATATCAGTAGGCCAGGTCAGAACCATGGGCAACTTAAGTGAATCTAGGTATTAAAAAAATACTAAGATGGATTCTCAAGAAGAGGAAAATTAGGTAACACTAATGGAGCTAGAATGTATTATTTGAATCTAATATCGGAATTTTTCATTATGAATGAAGTGATAATGAGATAATCTCTTTATTATGACTAAAGGAGATATTTGGGTGGAACGTTAAAAGTAAATGACTTTACATGTGTTCCATCATGCAGCAAAATAATTTGCCATATAGACGACTTACAACATTGTTGTTTGGATGGGAAAGTTCATTCATGAACTCTCCATTCGGTTCCAACCAGAAAGTGTATGACACTAATGGGGCGATAACTCAAGCCAGGGAATCAAGGTCTCATCAAGGTCCGAACTCAAATGAGAGACTGAACCACATGATTGAGAATCATGTATAATGGTGACGTCATTATTCTCAAGGTTGCTTCTATGGATAACATATAGATATCCATTGTTTAGGCCTACTACTCAGCCATTTATGAAATGAATTACAGAAGAGGTATCATCACTGATGAACAAGCTGATTGGCTCTAGTGCAAGTGGGAGATTGTTGGAAATGTGCCCTAAAACCAATCATTTGATGATACTTTACGGACATTTCAAACTAATGTAGTTTAAATGTAAAGGGCAAAGATTATTGTTTGAGCCGTCTCATATAAATGTTATATGCTTAAACGATAAGTCCAAGGAATATGTGATTGGAAGAATGCGATCTAAAGAAGTTAGATTCATGAGACCATTCTGTCGTTGACACATCCTAAACGTTCCTGATCATAGGATTGTCAATTGGGCATTGACAGTCCGTTAAGATCAGTACGTGCTATGTCTTCTCTCAGGGAGAGTGACTAGTCTCGAGTCATTGGTGTGTGTGACATCAAGACAAGTACGTAGGTGCTCAATAGAGAATGAGTTCACTGAACACGATCAACGAAGAGTTCTCATATTCATGTCACATGAGAACTCATGGTTGGGATAATGCAAATTAGTCTTTTGACCTGAGGCATCACAGTTGTCTTGTGGTTAGGTCCTTAATCTTTGATTATGTCAAAGTCACTCCATCAGGAGGGTGTCCATGGCATCGTTGGGGTTAAGCCACTTAGCCATGGAGGCAAGTGAATGCGCAACAAGGGATCTCTAACCTTCAAACTGTTTGAGGGAGAATACTCTATGATATGATTAAGAATCTTTGGCCAAAGTATGAATGAGATTTAGGAATGTGTTCCAAATCACATTCAAGGTAATCATATAAGCACAAGACTCACATTGGATAGTAGACATGAATAAACTATCAAACCAAACAATGTGGTCAAGAGTATTGTATTAGAGAAAGACCGTATTGCATTTGTAATCCTAAAACTGAATAGGTTCTCCACCTCTTCTGATTAGCTTGGGTAACCATGACATGCTGCTAGGCGTCAACCATGGTTTGTGGAAGCCCTAAAAGTGTATTATCACTAACGGGAGAATTGAAAGTAAGTTTCAATTCACAATCGATTAGAAAGAGTTTTAATCGCCCACTGCCTCGCTAAAAGGAACCTAATGGATCGTTCACCGAGTAAGGTAGAGTTTGAAGAAACAACGGAGATGAGTAAGAATAATTAAATGGTTTAATTATTTATCTAAGGCTAGGATTAATTAATATGTTAATTAATCAAACGAATAAGTTTGTTAAAGACCTCAGGTTAGTTTTGGGCCGCAAGGCCCAATGGGATTTGAATGTCAAGCCCATTAACTCAAGTTGTATGACAACTTGAATAAACAAAGGGCTTGAAAGCCCAATAAACCCTATAGGCTTGCCATGTTAGAAGAATAGGGCTTTTGGTCCATTAGGTCACTTATTTGAAGGGACTATATAAAAGACTTTATAGCCTAAAATTTATATATGGTAATTTTTGGGGAAAGGATGAGAACACAAGCTCTCCTTTCTCTCTAAAATTTAGGCCACCTTGGAGGGATCATCTAGCAATCAAACTCCTCCAAGGTCACTCATTTCTTCTTCATTATGCCTTGGTGATGAATCATTAGAGGTTCTCAATTTTGGGAACTTGGAGAAACCTTTTCATCCATCCAAATCCATGGATCTAAGATGCAAGGAATGAAGGCCCTCTCTTTGGGTGATTAGCCTTTGCTTATTCAAAGAGGAATCTACAAAGGTATTGATTTCTCAACTCACTTTGTTTTGAGTTGAGTCTTGGTTCACCTATCTACTAGGCTTTGAATTTCATGGGTAAATGTTTTGTTTTAAGTGCATACAAGCATGATTCCGCCTTTAATTGTTAATTGCATGCTATTGATGTTGCTTAAATGAACATGTTTTTCACAAATCTTCCTTCAAACTTGCCACCGGTAAGTATCAAATCAATATATATGTACCTATCCGCTCTCAGTGTATACATGTATAACAATTTTTAGTTTTATGATATGCTTAGCTTTTCATAAATTATATGTAGTGTTATATGTGTTAGTATATTCAGAGGATGGAATTGTTTTAGAAACTTTTATTCAAAAAGTGTCTTCGACCCACATGCCGACGACCAAGTCTCCAAAGAATTTTTGTTTAAACTTCACTAGAGACGGACACGAGATCCAGTCTAGGAAAGAAATCCCTCCCTAGTACTACATTGCAAGTATTGAAATCCTTGATCTAAGAACTGGGGCAAGGTAAAAAATTGTCATTGATTTGTTTCTTGCAGGTTGTTTTAAATATAGTTCGAAATTCTTAAGTCCAATAAATATATTGTTAAGCATGGAGCCAAAGATTCTTCATGAGTTTAATATTTAATTCATGGTATCAAAGTAAGGTGGTACTTCGGATATTGCGGTGAGAATACTTTATGGATGCTAAGTTTGAGAGGTAATGTTTCTTCGAATCAACATTATCGTGGGGGCTTTTGAGCTCTGTCTCGGGCCCACAAATTTACTCGTATTCTGCTCCGTTGCTTATTATTGAAAGCTTATGAGATAAAGAGTTTTCTTATCTTCTTCTGTAGGCCATAGCCAAGAGAGATAGAAGCCAAGACGACTATGTCCCTTTACATGCGTATGGTGCTCGTAATGACAATTTTGGTGCTTAGAGAAGCGCTCGGGTTGCTCCATCATGAAAATAAAAGTTGTCTTTTTCACTCATTTTCTTCCACGTTTGCACAAAGAGGACAACATACCCCTCTTCATCTTTTCTAGTATTTTCTTTCTCGCAAATTCATTATTTTTGTTGTTTGCTTTCTGGATTAAACAAACATAAAACGAATAAACTTATCTTCTTTTCCTTTAATCAACACGAAGTGCCTAACTAGGTAGAAAACACGGCCAAATAATCCGAATTGTTAACACTCAAAATATGGAGGTTAACTTAAAGGATGTAATCATTATTAGTTGTATAATAGACACAAGGATATATAGTGGTTCACCCATAAATGAGGCTACATCTATTGTAGTGTATATCAAATGTTACATGAAATGGCTCCAAGAAGAGGTGATGTGACCTCTTTATATCCACCTAATGAATATCTAGACGGTCAACAGGTCTTCCAATGGTAGTCTAACTGCAGAGCACTCTGGAGATGCGGTCTGCTGGTCTCAGTAGATCACCCTGGTTTAGTGACCCTTGTTTGGTGGTCTCAGTAGAGCACCATGGTCTAGTGGTGTCAGTATAGAAACCTGGTTTAGTGGTCTCAATAAAGCACTATTGTCTGGTGGTCTTAGTAGAGCACTCTGGTCTAGTAGTCTCACTAGAGCACCCTTGTCTGGTGGTCTCAGTAGAGCACCTTTGTCCGGTAAAAAAATATGCCATTAGAGAACTAATCACTTGAAATAAGTGGTCAATCACATGCCAAAGGGTCTCTCCCATCCAACAGTGATCTAGTCTCCAGTCAAAGAGTTTTCCCTCACAAGGATATTATGGAAAGAGTGGGACCAGGTCATTCTAGAGAACCACATTAACAGGTGTCATGTTTAGATAGGTCAATTTCAAAAAGATGATGAGCTCATCCTCAAGAGAGAGAGAGAACACAAGTATTTTATGAAATCAACATCATTTCTACTTCAATTCTAGACATCCTTAATAAACAACTCTAATGAAAATCGGGATTCCAATTCTCCTTATTTCCTCATCATTTCAATTCTACCTGTTGTGATTACGGATTAGCAGAAGAGTAAGAGATCCATTGTCAACTTTCCAAGGGGCGTGCTGGTGTTCCATGACCCGACCCATATCACATCTACGAAGTCATCGTAGTCTAATTACACTGTGGACGAAGCGGTAGTCAAAAGTCACAAGTGTCGCAGTTCGTTGGTAAAATTAACCGAGTCCAAGTGCGCTCAAAACCCTCATCAACGTGTGACGTGTCACTCTCACTGCGTATTCAGATAAAACGCCACCCAGATTTATCCGATCAAACTTTTACCTCGATCCCAAAATACCCCTACTGCAGCTCCCATTCTCCCACCCCAACTACCAACCAGTCCCCGTCATTTGAGTCAAAACCCAAGTCCTATTTCGTCCACCCAAAAAACCCCCACCCTTCTTCATCTCTGTCCAAACTCCAACCCAGAACCACCAAAAGACAAAGAAGGGGAGTGAGACAGAGTGAGGAGACTGAGAAATGGATTTCAATTTCAACTCCAACAGAGCGGAGGCGGAGCGGTGGCTGAGCACCGCCGTGAAGCTACTGTCGGCACATGACTTGCAAGGGACCAAGACCTTCGCGATCCGAGCCCGAGAGACTGATCCCAGGCTTGAGGCTACCGACCAGATAATTGCCGTCGCTGACACCCTCCTCGCCGCCGAATCCCAGATCAACAGCCAAAACCAGCAGCCCGACTGGTACGCTATTCTCCAACTCGCCCAGTACACTCAGAACCTCGAAATCGTCGCGACTCAGTACCGCCGACTCGCTCTCCTGCTGAACCCGCATCGGAATCGCTTCCCTTACGCCGATCACGCCTTCCGGCTGGTCTCCGAGGCCTGGAACGTCCTCTCTAACCCCAACAAGAAGGCCATCTACGACCACGAGTTGAGCATGTTCAACCGGTTCGACTCGCCTCCATCCGGGTCGACTCAGCTGTTCGAGAGGCAATTCTTGCAAATGCATCATGTTCAGCAACAGCCGCCGCAGCCGCCGCCCCCGCTGCCACTTCTATTTCATCCCCAACCGTCGCAGCTACTACAATTCCAGCCTCAACCGCCACCACCGCCACAACCACAACCAGAAGTGCAGAGACCACAACCGCAATGGCATTTTCAACAAAAGCGACAGCCACCACCACCACCAGAACACCAACATCAGCAGCAGCAGCAGCAGCAGCAGAATCAGCAGTATCACCACGAACCTCCTCAGCAGCACCGGCAACAATATCAGGAACTTCCACACCTTCTGCTGCAGCAGCAGCAGCAGCAAGAAGTGAGAAAAAACCCTAAAAGTAAGGACGGAAGACCGTCGATGGAGGAGGAAAGGCCGATTCCGATTCCCATCAATGTGACCGAGCCAGCACCTCCGCCCTCTGAATCAACTCCTCCGCCTTCCAAGTCCACTCATGCGCCCTCCGAATCAACTGGCCCCGTTGAGTCAACTCCCCCTTCCGAGTCAGCTCCCCCTTCTGAGTTGACTCGGCCTCAAACAGTGCCCAAATCGGGGAGCTTCTGGACTTCATGTCCTTACTGTTATAACCTCTTCGAGTATCCAAGCCTTTACGAGGATTGCATGCTTCGGTGTCAGAATTGTAAGAGGGCATTCAATGCAATGGCGATAGCGTCACCGCCTCTGGTGGGGAAGGGCGGTGATGTGAACTTTTGCTGTTGGGGGTATTTCCCATTGGGGTTATTGGAGAATGGTAAAGATACAGGCGGCTCATCTGGAGAGTGGACACCATTTTCGACAATGTTTGCCTGCCCAATACAAGGGAAGAAGAATACCGGACGAGCCAAGATTGCTAATTCGGGGCCGAGGGTCTATTACGATGACGAAGAGGCGTTGCTTGATGTTTCGGATCCAAGTGAGGACTCTGATGATGATGAGTGGCAGAGGGTCAGGAGGAAGAAGAAGGCTGTAAAGGCAAGAGCTAAAGCTTCCGTTGCTAAGACTCCGGTGAGAGCTTCGGATAGAATAAGGAAGGGAAGTCAAAATGCCGGTGGGCAGGGTAAGGTTGTCACTGGTGGGGGTGGGGGTGTGGGTGGTGGTTCTGTGTCGAAGGCAGAGTCAAGTAAGAAGTCAACTTCTGGTGCAAGAAAAAGAAGTGCTGCTGCATTGGGGAAGTTGGATTTGAATGTGGAGTTTAGTAATAATGAGGTGGAAGAGCCTGCAGCTCAGACAATGAGTGAAGGGAATGGGACAGCAAATGGGGAGGAGGATAATATTGAAGGAATCGGGTTTTTTGAAGGTCTTGACGAGTTTTTGAGTAGTCTGCCCATACTTAATGTTGTGGGAGATGACAAGGTTAAGGCTAATTAGGGAAGTAAGGGTAAGACTTTTGCTTTTTGTCATTGCTGCTTTAGCTGTTGTAATTGCTTTATGGATGCACGTTGTATTGAATGATGTAGAGCTTCTATGCCTTTTGTTTCATGGCTCTCACTGTTTGAATCTGTTATATAATCTGCAGCAATGTGAACTTAATTCAGGTTTTAGTTTTAGAAAATGTTAGTGTGATTTATGTAGATATTCTTATGGTGGAAAGATTAATCTTCAAAGGTATGGTGATAATCTGATTTTTCCGCTGTGCTGAAATTATGAAATCTTGGTATTCTATAACATAGACCTTTTTTCACACACCACCACCCCCCCCGGGCCGTTGATCAGGGTTGAAGCTTGTTTCTCTGTTATCTTATTGCTGATCCTATGACTAGGATTTTGTTAGGAAACCATTAACATTTTTTATGTTGGTGTGCTATAAGCAATTTCCCCTTCTTTTGGGATTAGAAAGGGAATGGAACATGTGATCGTCCCTTGCGTCATTCACAGGGAACCAAAACCTGTTTTTCCCAAATTGTTTGGGAATGACTATAAATAGTATAAAACGTAGCAGTTGTGAATGTAAGAAAGCAACACAAGTGGCAAGAACTGATGAAAAGGGGATGCTATTTTGAGTTGGGCAATGAACTGATGAAAAAGAAGATAATTTTTGTATATGGTGGAGAATTGTCAGGTTGATGGGTTTAATATCTCAGACCATGATGGAGGTTGCCGTGTTTTTGGGGTCATTCAAGAGGTCATGTTTATTGAGGTATCTGGCTAAACTGTTGGAGAAGAATAGTTGCAAAACATACAACATGGTAAAGCTAATTTGGCTCAAGAAGTTGATGCCTTTGTTGCTCTTCCTGGAGCATATGGAACATCTGTTGGAAATCATAGCACTGGCCCAACTTGGGCTCATAAAAAGCCAGTTGGTGCCAAGTTTAGATGGGTACTAAAATTGCATTCTTTCACTAATGACAATGGTATTATTGTCATTGAAGAAGGATTTATGAAGCCAGGTGCTCTGCATAGTAGTAGTCTCTGCTCCAACTGGCCAAAAAGCTTCTGGTGAAGATGGAGCAATACACTTCTCATGAAAGATGGCAAATGGAGCAACATGGTAATCACCAGGCCTTGAAAACATAAGTTGAAACTGTATTGATGGTAGGTCTTTCATTTCTAAATTGATTCCTGATTGATTCATCACTGTTTGAGTTATGTGGAAGAATCTATTTATACAAGGCATTATATCATTTGCTTCCATGTACCCTCTTGTTCTTTAAGTTTGGTGCAATATGCTGATCTGTACTTGCTAGAGGACTCAAAAGATTGCATAAGGGTACTGTTGGGTTTGGTAGAGGAAAGGAGGCTAGGGTTTTGTGGGCCTTATAGGCTGTCTTGTGGATTATTTGGATGTAGAGGAAGTTGGAGGATTTTTGACATTTATAAGGAGGTAGTGGGTGGAGGTGCTTTGGAAGAGCAAGAGATTCCTATCTTCGGTTTCAACAGAATCTAGGGCTCTTTACGACCCACCATTATCTTAGATTGGAAGGCAACCTTAGGTTAATTTCTTAGTGTCCTTGGTGATGCTTTTTGTAGTCTCTTATATAGCAGATGGTTTTTTCCTTTTGCACTGTGGACCCTTGTTTACAGCTATTGTACTTTTTTAATGATCATTAGTTTTGCTAATTAACAGTGAATTCATAGATGATGAAACAAAAGTGTAGGGGATCAGGGAGGATTCATCCTTTTATTTTTTCGTTTATGATCATCTCTTTGTTATTCATTTTTTTTTTCCTTAATTATTGTTTAGTTTTGTTTATGAGTTTCTGATTATACAGATTGGGTGGTTTAACTTGTCATTTGCAATGCAATAAGGGTAATGCACATATTACATAGCATAAGTTAAAGTTGGTTGTGAATGCTGGATTGGTTTAATATGAAGCAAATGCCTAGCGAACAAATCCAGATTCAAAGTACCATATGTATTGCGGTCTTGATGTGCTGTGGTGGTTCTCGTGAATCGCTTATTAGAGAGTATAGGATTTACTGTATTTTTCCAAGACTAGAATTGATAACGATTCAAAATTTGTTCGTGCCCCTCTGCTCTGAGGGAGGATATGTAATTACCTGTTTTAAGTGGTTTTTTGTTTCGTTATTTATGACTCAGACAACAAAGCTGGGTACCTGCCTTTTGATGTTTGAAAGAAATATTCTTGGGTGTTTAGCAGCACCTTGAATCTGGATTCTTTTCGTGTCTTTTATTATTGTAACCGTGGAAAATTGATTTACTCTTTGGCAGCATGGTCCTCTCTTTGTTTGATAAGTGATAGCAATTATTTCCTATTGTGCAACAATCTGTGGAACATGTTAGCTTGAGAATTGTTTCTTCTTTTTCGTCACTGTGACGTTCGAAGTTGTGGTTTAATTTTCTTTTTTGCTTTTCTTCTCTGCATTGGTTCTTGTTCTGTACAAAAGGAGTATGTCATGAAGTATGGTAAGCTCGGAAACAATCCTGTTAATGGTGTTATCTTCTCCGGCAATGTTTGACATGTTTTGGAATTGGTTTTTGTCTTTTCATGTCCAGTGGTTGGCATCTGATTAAATGATCTTTTTCGTTGTCCAGTTGATCATTCAGTCGTTTAATGGATGTGGAGGGAGTATTAAGAGAAGCGCTAGGATCCTCAATGCACGGGTTCTAGTGCGCTAAATGTGTTCTAGTGCAAATTTTTGTCACTCCTGCAGGTGCAGGTGGGCAAAGATATGTCGAAATGTGATATTCTCGTGTAACTATAATTCTACATGTTACATGCCGCAAAGTCGGTGGACTCGCGGTGACGGACTCAGTTCACCGGTGCCGGACTCAGAGCAGTATCGTCTACGTTTTTTAGTACACCGCGGCTTGAAAGCCTAGGGAGTAGGAAATAGGAACGGTGGTTCTTGTTATGCCTTGGGGATTGCAGGAGTTTAAACCAACTTAGCCAAGTGGAGAATGATGAAGGGCCCTATTTGTAGAGTTTCTTGGAGATGTTCTTACACAAGGCATCTTGCCAAATCCTGGAACATCGAAGGGAAGATAACCATGGAAAAGGGAGCCGTTATTGATACTTCAAACTAGTAATCATGAATTTGCGAAGAGAGGGAAAAAAAAAAAATTAACGAACGGTAAGTGCATGATGACATTTCAGGAGGCATAACTGTGGAGTTAAAAAGATTCTAACCCAATACAAAGTGCCAAAAAATGCACTAGATAATAGAGTACCAAAGTACCAATTGAGGTGTTAATTCGCCCGGGGTAAGGGATATAGGTGGTGACAACCGACAAGGGTAACGGTGGAGGGAATGGTGATAAAAAGTAGGGATTCATTGAATAATACATTGTTTCTTTGTTAATTAAAATGCCAACTGACACAATTTGATTGGACAACAATTTAAAAAAAAAAAAAAAAGGGAAGTTGGTTACGTGGGAAAATGGAGAGAGTCTTTCTTCTTCTTTGGAATCAAGGTCCAGGACACAACAGAGCTATGGTGGTATACTTCGTGTTCCATTTCATCTAAAATTAGATATTTTTTCTTGGTTCAAAAATTCTGTTGCACAACATCCACAATCATGATAGTCTTCTCTCTTTCATCACTTGCTCAGAAAGTTGGGTAACCCTCAGAGGTTATCACAAACGCTTTCTCGAATTTTTAGGCGGTCCGGGATCACTGGGCCCATGAATTGATCTACCCTTGCATATTTCTACACACTTTGTGTGGGTGTGAACCTTTTTTATTTTTCTTTTTAAAATAGGAATGAAAGAGGAAGAGAGAGAACATGGAAGTGGACAAAGAATTTCTTACTTTTTGAAATTTACTTTACTATTTATAATTAAATTATTTTTCATCATCTTTTGATTGGCGAAAATATTTTATAATAGACACTTGCATATGCCCCACATTCTGTGTGTAAATAAATTTGTTTTAAAATGAGAAGGAGATGCCATTTTGTATTACGATCAATTGATATTTCTCTTCACTTATAAGTGAGAGGGTTCGATTGTCGTCAAAGGTGAATTTGAACTATATTATTGTTAGCTTATTGTGAGGCTTAATCCACTCTCCTACCCCTTTAGTAGAGAAAAAAGAGGAACATGAATTGGATTGAGCAGTTTTTTTTTTTTAATTTTTTTGGTGAAGAGATAGAGCAGGTTTCATTTTTAAATCAGAGGATGGTTAGGATTTTTTAATTTTTTTAAATTTTTGTCAAACGATAGATTAGATATTAGATTAGGAAGCTGATTGAGTTCAAACTCACGCCGTGGTGCAAGGATAACACTTGTCTCCACAATTGTGGTAGACCACTTGCATGTTAGGATTATCTTTGGGTGTGACTTAAAAGAACTGTAAAATTTAGTTTGTGTGAATACTTTACTGCCCATAATTTTATTATAAAAGATTAAATTATCTTTTGACCTATTTTAATTGATAAAAAGAATTTTATTTTATTTTTTTGAAGGAAAATAAAAAAAAATGAATTTTATTAATAGTCAGTTTAAATTCGAGATAAAATATTTGCAGACACCTGTCTTATATTAAAAAAGGGAAAAAATAAAAGAAAATTAAACTGTCCAGCATCTCAATTCCGAAAGACAGTTAAGAGTTGAGGGTGTGTGCAGAGCATAAGCATATAGCTGTACTTTAAACTTGGGTTTCTCCGTCTTCTTTGGAGGTGGACAAATGTTACTTGATCCGACCAACCAACTCACCCACACCTTTCCCTTCCCCACAATCTTTTAAACGCTCTCTTCTCTCAAAACCGAAACCCCATTTCCCATTTCAGCTCTCTCTCTCTCTCTCTCTCTCTCTCTCTCTTCCATGGCTGATCTTGCGCCAATCTCTGTTTTAAATGACTCAATTTCCAATTCCTCCTCCTCGGACACACGACAAGTAAACTTCTCTCTCTCTATCTCTCTCTCTCTCTCTCTCTCTCTCTACCATTTCCTTAAGTTCTCTTGTTTCTTGATTGTGTTTTTTTTTGTCAATTTTCTGCAGATCTTTGGTTCTAATCCGAAATCAGGAAAAGTTCAGCCGACCCAATTGAGATTGTTGACTACTTCCGAGTAAGTTTCTGAAGGTGTCACCTTTCTGCTCATATTATTATTCTGTTTGCTGCATATATG